GCCGCTCCCCCGCCCGCCTCCCGCTCCGGAGGGCTCCCGCGGCAGCGGGCAGCCTGGATGCGTGTGCGTGTGCGCGCTGCTACTTTGTACTGTGAAGAACACCCAGCCCATGTGCTCTGTATGGATGTTGGTGATACTCCGGGTAGCTTGAGTCTCTGCGAGCAGGCAAGATGTCCAGCGCACCACATGACCCTTTCTATTCTTCTCCTTTTGGCCCGTTTTACAGGAGACACACGCCGTACATGGTGCAGCCCGAGTACCGAATCTATGAAATGAACAAGCGGCTGCAGTCGCGGACGGAGGTAAGTCCCTCAGCCTTCTCTTCCTCTGCGGGCACCGGGGCAAGGTTTCAACCCCAATTCCAGCCGGAGCGTCCCGCTAGACAGTGGAGTGCGTGCAGGCACGAACCCTAATTAATTTCGTAGTTTAATTGGGTAATCCCTCCTTGTGTTTCCACGCAGAGCAACTCTTTGAGGAGATAGCAGTTTAGGCTGAAATCTTGGAATTACGGTGCAGCACTTGGGGATTGACTGGGATGCTGGTCTCAGGAAATTTCTTTGCCTTGGTGCACGGTTTGCTCAGGATCTGTCCTGCTGGCATTTGCCGCTGTGGTATTGCAAGGTATCATGCATAAAACTAATTCAGAAAGGTTGCAGGCCGAGGGGGAGAGAGGAACCTTTCTCCGGTTTTGTTTTGTAAACTCGTGAAAATTAAAAATGAATGATGACAGAAGACAGGAGCAGAGTTTTAAAAACTTACTCCTAGGCTGCACTTAAAGAACACATGCTCAGGACGACCGACAAGAGAAATTCGTGTTTACGTTTAGAATGCAGTTGCTTTTAGCCAGAGAGATGATCGGTTCATGACTTTATCCTATAGCTGTCAAAAGTATCCAGTTAATGTAAACTACATTCGCTGTTGGTTAGCTTTGTGTTACCTGGTAGTGGTTTATACACCCTGGCTTCTACACCCAGATCAGCCACCACAAAGAATATGCCGAATGGACAGGGGAAATACTTTCGTCACTTAAGGACAAAAAATAGCAGAGGCTGCATCTTGTTATTTACATGGTTAAATAAAGCACCCTTTTTAGTCTGTTGAAGTGAAAACTATGTGGACTGAATCAGGCTGCATTTCTGCCCATGTGTCTGTGTTTGTGCAGCAAACATTCTTGGGGCTGCAATTTTTCACAGTAGTTTACTAGTGGTGCCCTGAAAACACTTTTTAAAAGTATTCATCTTTTATAGTGAATGGCTTTATGCAGAGGCAAATACCTGCCAGATTCGTGCCAGGAAGCATGGTAAAGGATCTCAGATTGATCTGCTTGTTGTATTGTAATTCTTTGAGAGAACATGAGGTTATCATAAAATAAAGCACACATGCCTCAATTGTCAGCTAAGCCATGGAGAATCTGTGACTTTTAATGTATATGATACAGCTAACAAGATGTGACCTGCTTTCTGATTGGGTAACTGCCACGGGGTAACTGCTTTTCTAACACTGTTACCACTGCCAGGCTTAAAACATTGCCTTGGAGTAATGGGTAAATTAACTCCATGTGGCTCCTTGCTCCCCAGATCATGGCAACTGTTTGTCAGTTTTGCCCCAAGTTCTTGGTTGCGGAGGGTCGCTGCCATTTAGGTAGAACAAGGGGGTTTGGGGGGTTTATTCGCTACTGGTTTGCCAGTGTGTTGCAACTCTGTTCCTTACATTCCTGAACATATTAATGTAATAATTTCTGGACTTTTTCAAGTGAAAAGAAGAAATATGTATCATGAAGTGATTCCTTCAGGGTTTTATATACAAGCTGTGCTGAAAAGCTGTCAGTGCTCATTTAGCCTTTTTATGTATTCTTTTAGTGGTGCTTTTAATAATTGACCAGTTTCTGATTGCAGCTCCTTTACAGATGCTACGCTAGAAAAGTTTTTGAGTGACTTGTGAAACAACTTCCCCCTCCTGCGTTGCTGAGGTGTGCTGAGTTAGACTTCAGTGCCTTTAATTGCAGTTTTTGCTGTGCACGTTCACATGGACTGTTATGGGCAAAAAGCAATAACCCACTCTTTCTCATTAGTACTGCCATAGGTTTCAAGAAGCATTTTACTTTGGCAGACAGTGCTTAGTTAGTGAAGGCCTTATGCTCCAGCATGTCTTTTATTTGCTCAGAGTAAAAATACTTTTGCCTTCTGATTGTTCAGTGTTTACATTCTGGTTCTCTGATTTTTAATTTCTGAGCTCTGTGCTGTAAGCATTGTTGTTTTTCAAATGTATTTTCTAGCTAGCTTCAGGTCATCTCATTCGTCCTCCAATTAAAACACCTTCCTTAATAAAAAGAAAAAAAATTAAATTAGTTTCCTGGGACACTTACAGTGGCTAAGTGTGGACAGCCTGTAAAGAATCATGCTGGCTTGTGAGGCAGGTTGGGAGTGGAAGTTTCACATTAATTTTATGCACTTCCAAGCATGTTTGGGATTGGTAGCAGAAGGCTTTTGGAGCATGTATAACTAGCTCTGAATTTTTTGAACCCAGACCGATGGAGCCCTGCATGTCGTGGAAGGAATGTGCTTGTGCTGTGGGTGATGCAGGCTTACTGCATGAGCGTGTCTCTTCAGGCAGTCTTTGGAATAATGTAGGCACTGGTCTCTGAAGGAGGCTGCTTGTGCTCTGTGAGCCCCAGGGGGTAGGTGAGCACAAGTAAAGCGGCTTAAGGGGAAAGGAATTACAAAGAAACTCTCCAACAGACTGGGGGTAGCAAGCTGGCAGATTCCACTTGGGCGCAACTTCTGGAGAGAGCCAGTGGCAAGTGAGGATGCATTAAAAAATGGGAACCTACAGCTCTTATCCCAAATATATTTTTGGAATGCCTTTGCGATTTTCCTGTTTTCCTACAAAATAAAAATGTTCTTAATAACATGAGTCGGATTCTCTGCTGTCCCTTGCAGTGGTGAAAGTTCCAAGGCAGAGCAAAACAGACGTAATTAAGTTTTACAGAGGATGGATGGAGAGCCTGTGAAATGAGTATCCATCCGTATACCATGTCTATCTGTATTCTCCTCTCCATCTGTAGGGCCCACCTTTGTAGTGAATTCTTGTAGCTGCTCTCTGGAGCTTGGAGGTAGGCGAGAGCAATTCAAAAAAAGCAAGGGCTGGTAGAGAGACCATTAGGGAACCCACCGGTTAATGCCATTTCTACTCCTGCCCCCTCAGCAGCAGGGTCTGTGGTATGCTGGGGCAGGCAGAGGTGTCCTCAAAGTGGCTCTGCGCTTGGGGACCCGCCCCTAGAAATCCACCGCTTCCACTCCGGTTTGCGTCAGCCTTGGGTGGAAGGGAGTAATAGTCGGCGTGAAGGATGTGCTCAGCGTATTAAGCAGACAAAGTACAGAGTGATAAATAAAGGTCATTTAGATGCAGCATGGCTATCTTTGTTGCTGTTATTTTCTTTAGGAAGAAATGTTACTTGTGAAAGTAAAGAATTAGCAGCTCTAGCCTGTGCTAGGTGTGCCAACTTTTGCTCTCCAAACTTCTTTCAACTTTGTGGGCTCCTCAGGCAGAACCTACAACTGCCTTTTTAAATTCAGGGTCAGTCTTAGGCGAAGAATTCCAATCGCACCCAGGCAGGGGGTGGTTTTATGATGTAAGTACTGGCAAAAGTCCACCACCTAGCTAATTCTTATGTGATCTAAAGTAAATTAGGGAATCTGAATTACTAACTAGTGTACAGGAACACCTTACCTTCGTTAAAAGTTGTTCAAAGGCATTGAATCTGGTAATACTTTTTTAAAATGGGAATTGATACTTGCTATCTGAATAATACTTTGGGAGCGTCTGTTGCCGTTTTGTAATGCATCAACAAGCCTGATATAAGAAGTAAAATGAATATTTAAATGTTTAATAATCTCTGGCAGATATAAAGATAAATCTTATTTACTTCTATCATAGCTGATTCACTTTCTGGTTAACCAAAATGCAGCTGTTTCCTTGCTCTGTGTGTGGTTTTAAAGATTTTATTGCTGTTCACTCAAACACCGTTTATCTGAATATTTTTATATCTTTGTTAGTTTAACATTTCAAGAAAGCAATCCTATTGTGGCATATCAGCAGTTTCTAAAGTTCTAGGTAGCAATACACAACATAGGTAAATTAGCTTAAATATTTTCATAAAACTGAACGTTTAAAATAAAGCCTCTTTTCCTCTTTGTTGTAAATCCTTTTCTGTTCTAATTTTTAATCATTTGAAATTGTTCACACTTCAGAGAAAACAAAAGGTGATTATATCTTGTATGTAGTTATTTTTCAGTAACATCACAGTGCGCTGTGGATAGAACACTTAGAGTTACTGACAGTTTAAAGTTTGAGGCGTTGCTTTATTGCCAATAATCAAAGAAATGTATCGAAACTTTCATTTGTTTGTTTAGTCCCCTATATGGTTAGAACTTTTGCTTATCACAATATATTAAATTCACCTGTATCTCTCTCTCTCTTGCTACAAGAGGTTATGCTTTACATCATCATTATATGCACAACACAGCTTTCCTCCTGGCTAAGAGAGCAGTGTTTCAAGGTTGACTAGAGAACTTGATTAGTAGCGTATTTGTTTTAAAGACAGTCAGCTTAATCAGATCATATTAAACTCCTATTAAACTGTATAGTGAATTTAACGAAAGTAGAGATTTCATGATGGAAGAAAATGTAAAGAAAATTAAAAGGAAAATAGAGGAGGATGTTATGATTATTTAAAAGCTACTAAATGAACTGGAAGCTTACACAGATATTCATATTCAACCAAATATTTAAAGCAAGGCAAATCAAAGCAAAACAAAATTTCTGCAGTTTCATGGAAGTCTCTTATTTTACTTCCTCACATTGCTATCTGATAAAATAATCTTTTCTTCTTCTTCCTTGATGCATTTTTAATAGATTAGTCACAAAAATCTATGTTGTGACATCACATTTGTTCACATAGCAACTTAGTATCGCAAACAGATCTCTCATATTGTGTACATAAGTCTGAGTTTGTCCAATGAGTTTGTTTTGTTGAGGGGAAAACACATAAACTTCTGTCTCAAAGTATGTTTGAGGAAATATTCTTTCACCCACAAGTATACTAATACTTCGCAATGCTAGGAACATGAGTGAAGTATTTTTAAAAGAGTCCTTGTAAACCATGCTTTGCTGAAACTGAAAGGCCAGTTTTAAAAGAAAGCCCCTGAACTCCTTTAGGCAGACACGGACTACAGAATGGATTCAGGGCTCTTTTTATTGGTTGTCTTTTATGTCATATAGTTGTTTCATCCCGTTTAAAAAT